CCCAACTTCCAAATTTACCCAACTTCCAAATTTACCCAACTTCCAAATTTACCCAACTTCCAAATTTACCCAACTTCCAAATTTACCCAACTTCCAAATTTACCCAACTTCCAAATTTACCCAACTTCCAAATTTACCCAACTTCCAAATTTACCCAACTTCCAAATTTACCCAACTTCCAAATTTACCCAACTTCCAAATTTACCCAACTTCCAAATTTACCCAACTTCCAAATTTACCCAACTTCCAAATTTACCCAACTTCCAAATTTACCCAACTTCCAAATTTACCCAACTTCCAAATTTACCCAACTTCCAAATTTACCCAACTTCCAAATTTACCCAACTTCCAAATTTACCCAACTTCCAAATTTACCCAACTTCCAAATTTACCCAACTTCCAAATTTACCCAACTTCCAAATTTTCCAATTGCTAAATTTACCAAATTCTAAATTTCCCAATTTCTAAATTTACTAATTTCTGAATTTTCCAACTTCTAAATTTGCCAATTTCTAAATTTCCCAAATTCTACACTTCCCAATTACTAAATTTTCCAACTTCTACATTTCCCAATTTCTATATTTCCCAACTACTGAATTTCCCAACTTCTAAACTTCCCAAATTCTACGTTTACTCTAAAGTAACACGGCAAAGACCAAACCATCTACCTTCAAAACACTCCCCTTCAACAGTCTACCCTAAAAATTCCCCCAACATCAAATATTCCCCAAATACTGAAAAGTCACACGATCCACCCCAAAAAATGTTAGAATCGTCATGACGTATCAAGGGTGGTCAGGATCGAGCATCGATGTATGAAACTTTATAAGGGTTATAGTTACAAGGGTGGCGGTTTAGAACGAGATTGACTAGCGAATGGAAAGGAGGGATTGGAATCGTCGGTTTGCGGTATAACCGGCTGACAATGAAATCGAGCCACCGTAAACGAACTAATTGCAGGCACAATAATTATTCTGCGGATCGGTGCAGGATCGGTGCACGAGGGTGGCGGGTTTGTCGTCTACTGTTGGATTACGGATCGATCATGCTCGTTTCTGTTATTAACCCCCTGGAGGGCAGACTCGTTCACGGATCGATAGATAACCTCGAAATTTATTGTGCCGCTACTTCTGCCTTTCGAAATTCTTCTGGGAAACTTCGATAAACTCGCGATTACGCTCGTAAAATTCCTCCCTCAATCTCAAACTACCAGGCTTTGTACTTTAACATTCTTATCTGATATTTTAACTTTAGGTAAGTGAGTTGGTTTATATACTTGTGCATCTATAAATTTCTGGATTTTAAAATTTTCAAGTTGTGACGTTTGAAATTCCTAAATTTTCAAATGTTTAAGTTCTCTAGTTTCTATTGCGAAATTTCTAAAATTCCAAATTTCTAAATTAGTTACTACTAAGTTACTACATATGAAATTGCTAAATTTAGAGATTCGAAAATTTATAAATCGAGAAATGTTGAAAGTTGAAATCCCAAATTTGAAAAATACCGAAATTAAAAATCCCCAAATCCAAAAATTCACGACTCCATAAACCTAACTCAGAAACGTACATCTACAAAATTAAAAATAATTTGAAATTTTCCCTCGAAGAAATGATTACCAGTCCCACAAGTGTCCACTCCATTCATTTCCGTAAGACACTCATAACAAATATAAGTTGCAGCGATAACAGTCATAAAAAGTAAGAAAGACGGTACTAAATTTACTGCAGAAATTTGACGTGTTAGTTGAAAGTTACACGGCTGGAAAGCACTGTTACTTGTACTTTCGAATTACAGGGAGATTCTAAGATACTTGTTCCATTACTCTGTAATTTACTTGTTGCGATAATGTAAGGTAGGATGGTGGGCCATAAGAAAGGGGCGGTATAAAGTTTTGAATTTACAACAGAAATTTGATACGCTACTTCAAAGTTACGTGAATACATACTGAGTTATTACGCGAACACACAGTGAGTTTACGCGTTGAATGCTTCAGTAGAAATAATCGTACTTAATGCGCCATGTGATAACGTGTGTTATTGATGTTCCTACATATCATATGCGTACTGCTGTTTATATATTATTGTGTGTAATGATAATAGTATAATGATTTTATGAATGTATATAAATACTGTATGTAATATATAGTGATATGTACATATGTATATTTATGTCATTGTACTAAATAAGATTTTATTATTATTTTCTTATGGTCAGCTTTATTATTATTTTGTTGTGGTCAATTTTATTATTATTTTGTTATAGTCAACTTTATTATTATTTTGTTATGGTCATCTTTATTATTATTTAGCTATTATTGACTTAATTCTTTGTACTATTTTGACGAGTCTCGTGACGCACTCTTTGCGTCACAGCTGCAATCAATTTTACCCAAATACATTATGTCATGGTCAGCTTTATATTTTTTTATGGTCAACTTTATTATTATTTAGCTATTATTGACCTAATTCTTTGTACTATTTTGGAGAGTCTCGTGACGCACTCTTTGCGTCACAGCTGCAATCAATTTTACCCGAATACATTATGTTATGGTCAATTTTATTATTATTTTGTTATGGTCAACTTTATTATTATTTAGCTATTATTGACTTAATTCTTTGTACTATTTTGACGAGTCTCGTGACGCACTCTTTGCGTCAGAGCTGCAATCAATTTTACCCGAATACATTATGTCATGGTCAGCTTTATATTTTGTTATGGTCAACTTTATTATTATTTAGCTATTATTGACATAATTCCTTGTACTATTTTGATGAGTCTCGTGACGCACTCTTTGCGTCACAGCTGCAATCAATTTTACCCGAATACATTATCTCATGGTCAGCTTTATTATTATTTTGTTATAGTCAACTTTATTATTATTTATCTATTATTGACTTAATTCTTTGTACTCTTTTGACGAGTCTCGTGACGCACTCTTTGCGTCACTTACAGCTGCAATTTTACCCGAATTTTTAATAAATTTCAATTTGAAATCCAATTATAATTTGTATGATCAATTACATAATACCTAATTGGTGTAACATTTCAATTTTCTTCATCTGTTTTAATATTATACCTGTGATTAATTCTGTATGACGCACCTGACAAATTACAGTGCAAGTAGCAATAATTAACCAATTCTTATTATCGACTTAATTATTATTTCTCGACAACTACCAATTTAGCAAACAATTATTTACTTATCATATACCATTAATTCAATGAATAATCAACGAGACTATGAAACGATAGTGAAAGCACCGTTGAAAGCGCAATTATTTTTTGGTAAATTTGTAAAGGGCGATTGTGTTATCAGAGTGCGTCGGGTCCGTTGAGAGATTAAGCCCGATTCACAGAGGAGAGTCACGAACGAACAAAGGTACGACGACCTTCGAAAAGGGTCAACGCACTCGGCCTGCCAAGCATAACGGAAGTAAGGCCACGGATTTCGAGTAGAACGACCCTGAAGGCGCACATAACACCATGCGACTGCCTCCACTAATTTAC